GGGTCTGTGACTCGGAACCTGAGAGGCAGCTCGAGGGGACAGGTTGGGGAGCAAAGGGGGAAGAGGTGTGAAGGCCTGGCTGTCACAGATTCGTGCTGTGCCACGGTGCCGGACTTCCTCAGAGAACTTCCAGGACAGCAGTTTCACTTGGCTAAGAAATAGCACAGAAATAGTCCCTTTTCTCTCACAGAATGCTGCCACATGGCCTTCAGGCCAAAATCGAGAAATCACAAAACGTCCAGAGGACATTTCCAGGACTTGTGATTACTCAGAGTGAAATGTGGGATGGGTAAAAATTGTCTCCACTTCTGGGAATTGCCTGCCTTATAGTGACAATTGATTTTACACCCAAACCAGGCCTCTTACAATGTAGCGGGGAAACAGGATAATCCAAGGCCACCGGGTTTTATTACAAATAGACCACTTGCGACCAGCCAGTGGTGGATTTGCATAATTCAGCCCAGAGCCTGCTGCAGGCCTCTCCAGTTTGCCTGGCACCCAGACCCTTGTGCAGAGGGTCCGTGCCAGCCACTAGGTGCCACTTCATGTCTTTTTAGTGACCTCCTCCATCACTCTGTGTGTGTGCTTCTCTTTCAGGAAGGAACCTCAAAATTTGCAAACCTGGACAGCTGTGTAAAAGAAAACCAGAAGCGGACTCAGAGGCGGCTTCAGCTGCAGAAGGACATGGTACGCACAGCCCTTGTCCTCTGAGGCCCACAGGAGAGCCGCCTGGCGTGGGTAGCTGGGTTCCCGCATGACACGGGCCCCTTCGGTCTGCCGGGCGTCCATTTGTTCCTGAAAGTTCTCCCACTTCTTGCCTCGTTTGTTCTCAGTAACCCTGGGGAGTCTGTAAGAAAGATGTTATTACTCCCATTGGGCCAGTAGGAAGTAAACCCTGAGAGGCGTAAATCATGGTGTTCTCTGGAGCACTTTTTTTCTGGAAGGAACCATCTGCAGCAGGTAGACTTCCATCCCTCCTGCTGTCTTCCTCCATCTCCCCTGCACTTAGAAACTGCTGCTGCCTTGACCTTGAGACCTCCTGGGCTTCCGTTCCCCGATGGGAATGGCTGTGGTAGTCAGCTTTGCACACATCACGGTGGCCCAGGACCTGGGTGCTGAGGAGAGAGAGTGTCTGCTCCTGGGAGGACTTGATCTGTGCACTTGACCTCGTTTGTTCCCACCCTTGTCATTTCCCAGCTCTCCTTACTAACCCCAGGCAAACCAAATCTTTCTGGTTTTTCAGTACGCAAAGGAGTGTCAGACCTCCCTCCTTAAGACTGAAGGATGGTTCTTACCATCTTTAGCTTTATTTAAAAAGCTCTGCTAACTTTGAGCATAGAAAGGGGAAAAGCAGAGAGGGGAGACCAGGGACTGACAAATTCTAATATTCTCATGCTGCTTAGGGCAGATTTTCTCCTTTGAGAAGTTGGATGTAAGTCAGGAACGCTCTTGAATGACAGGGCTCTTCTGTCACGTAAAGCCTATAAAAATTCACAATATTTCCAACTTTTTAGTTCAAAGACAAGTTAAAAATAGCTGTTAAAGAAAGAAGATTATTTTGGTCCGGGACCAGACCTTGTGTGCGTAATGGGGAAGGACGAGCCGCAGCTGACGGTGAGGGCCTGAAGGACACAGCCCTCCTTGGCGTGACCCTCAGGCAGCGGCGCCGGCCAGGGAGCAGCCAGCCTCGCGCCCCGCAGCCTGGCCTTGCCCTGCTGAGACTGGTTGTGGCTTTTGTCTTTTTGCCAGCTTTTCCGTAAGTGCCTCAGTGGAGTTTCAGATAAAGTGTCCATGGAAGTACCTTTTAATTCTTTTCATCATCGTTAGTGCCTTGGTGGCCTTATGGAGAACAGAGATGATTTTAAAGGAACTTTGGTGAAATTAATATAGTATATACTTGAGATTGAAGTATTTCTACCTCAGTTTCCAAGGGCCAATTTTTTTATTTTAGAATTTACATATACGTTCCTGGTAGCCCATGAGTTTCTGTGAACCCTCACTCAGCTTCCCCCTGGTGGACATCTTCTGTGACCTTGGCACGCCTGTCAGCACTGACACGGGGACACTGGCATGCCACTGTTGCCTCAGGGGCAGACCTTAGGTGCATCTCAGCGCTTTTCCATCAGTGTCCTCTTTCTGTCCTGGGATCCAACCCGCGAACCACCCTCATTCCGTTGTCATATCTCCCAGGCTCCTCTGGCCTGCGACGGTTTCTCAGACTTTCCTTGTTTTTCGTGACCTTGACAGTCTGAAGGGACATTGTGGGGTATCCTTAGAATGCCCCACAATCAGAGAGAGTCTGTTGTTTCCTAGCGATTAGACTGGAGTTGTGGGTTTGGGGGAAGACTATCACAGGGGTGAAGCGCCATTCTCATCACATCCTATCAGGGAGCAAATGACATCAGCTGACATCAGAGTCACTTGTGATATCACCCTTCATCCCTTGATTCAGATTCAGGTAGAGTTTGCCAGGTTTTCCTCTTTACAGTTACTATTTCTCCGTCTCCCTCCTCCATGCTTTGGAAGTAACAGTGGTGGCAACTCATAGAGGAAGGTGCACACTCTTCTTCAGTGTGCAGTGACCCTCTCCCGCCCCGATGGCAGGGCCGTCCCTTTCCAGGCCCATTTCAGACCACTTGAGTGTCCACTCGCTCCGAAAGAGAAGACACGTCTCTGACCTAAGCCTGAGCAAAACATAAGTCCCCTGTGAACAGTCTTGAACCTTCTTGTCTGGTCTCCTGGCTTTGAGGCTTGGTTTTCAAAACTTTGAAAGTCAGTTAGTAGATGACGGAGTTCTTCTCTTTGTGTAGGAATTTTCAAAATTTCATTCATGCAGGTAGCATCAGTGGCCCCAAATTTGGCCTTGAATGGTCCTTAATTAATCTCTTCAAGGCTTGCCTGTGCATTCAATGATTGCTGCTTCCATCTGCTAATGGGCCCATTGCTAAACCTAGCCCACAACAGGTCCATTCCCTCCAGTGTGGAGGTTATTGAAACCCTTAGACTTGTCAGTAACAACTGAGACAGTTTTGCTATGCTTGCTCTTCAGGGGGTGATGCAGGGCACTGTGCCCTACCTGGGCACCTTCCTGACTGACCTGACCATGCTTGACACCGCTCTTCAGGACTACATCGAGGTGAGTTCTGTGCAGGTGGCGAAATTGCACCTGCAGCCTTCTCATTGGACATGCAAGAGAGAAAGTCACTTTTACTAGTATCTATTGAAGGCCCATTGTGTCCGCAGCTCTGTGCTAGATGCTGTGAGGAGTACAAAGAGGGATAACACCAGAAGTGGCCCACAGACCCATGAGAGGCAGATATCAGAGGAGGCAGTGGTTGATAAGAAATAGTAAGAATTCAAACAAATGCCGAGAGAAGAGGGGAGGTCATAATCAGTTCCATGTGAGGGAAGAGATGGCAAGACCTTATGAAGGAACGGGCTTGAGGAAGACCTTGACGTTGAGTTGGGTTTTGGGAGGTGATAATATGCCCCAACATTCCACTGTATCTGATGGGGTAGGGAGCCAAGTGTGTGAATTTTTAAGTATTCCACTTTTTTTTCATATTATTATCTGCTCTGAGGCCCCAGCACTCGGGTACGCGTACTCTCTTTCTCTCTCTCAATGGGAAAGGAGGTGAACCCGATCAAACAAGCTACCTGTTAGTAACAGTAGTAAAATATTCAGTGGAGAATAAATTGATATTTGAAATGAGATTTAAGGATTGGTTGTATGTATTTAAGTTCATCTCACCTCCATGGTTATCACATGTAATCAGCTTTATGATTGGGAGGAATAGCAGTAATGTTCCATACACCTGCCTCCGAGTGCACCATAAATGCCGTGGACATGCTCGTTCATGTCGCCTTTCCTGAGCTCTGTGTCTCTTTACCTCCTCTGCCTCAGCTTATCTCAGGAAACACTCCCCAGTGTTGGGGAATTTTTTGGAGTGACCAATGATTTAGAAGTTAAATCCACCCCACTGAGAAGAGGAGGAGCAGGGGGGATGAAGAATTGAAACTCAACTTTTCATGATGCTATGTGGTCGAGACTTCCCTTTTGATAAACCATTGACAATTTGGTTCCTCCTATGAGTCAAGAACCATCTGTTTTTGTTGCTTTGGTAAAAAAAAAAAAAAATAAAGTGTAATGGAACATTTACTCAAGCTCTTGCTCTTCCTGGTTCTGCAAAATGCATTTGGGTTCTGAATTGTAACTCCTTGATCGTTACAATTTTAGTTGTTTGAGACATTTTAAGAGAAAGGCTGTTTGCCTGCCCTGTCCTATCATAGTTAAAAGAATGTTTTTCTTGAAGCAAACAATGCTTCTCTTCCTCCAGAGTAGCCATAATTATAGTGTCATTAACATTTATGACTTTAGTTTAACCTTAATTAAAACCTTCGATTGGTTTTAATAAGATCTAGAACAACATAGGGTTTGGCTGTGGTTCACAGTAGTTTGGTTTGTCACTCTTTTTTTTTTTTTAATTTCTTTCAGGGTGGGCTGATCAACTTTGAGAAAAGGAGACGGGTAAGTAGAGCTCTTGGCTGTGGTTGTCCATCTGACTTTATCTGGGCATGAAAAAAATGAAAGAAGTGGGGACTTAAATTTTTTATAGAGGCAGAAACAAATGAATTAGCATTTATTGAACATTCGTCGTATACTACTATGCTGGGCATGTTTCTATACATTATCCCCCAAGAGCCCTGTGAGGAAGCCGGGACTGAGGGAGATGAAGTCACTTGGCAAGGGTCACCTGGTGGCAGAGCCAGGGCTCAAATCCTACCAGCCACTCCAGAGCCCACCTTCCTTTCCTTACCCTCTTCCTCTCCTTTACAATTAGCTCCAGTAATAACAGGTTCACCCTATTAAGGAGAAGGGGTTTCTTAAGAGTAAGTGACATAGAAGAGGAAATAAAGTTGGATAACTTATGGGCCTGCGAGAGGAAAGGAGAGGGTCTTTGTTGTTGTATGTGGATAATTATTTTTTTTTCTTCCCTCTCAGTGTAAGAAAGGGTCTTCAGCATAAATTTGAATTTTTTTGTGTGTGTGTGCACAATAGAATAGTTAGTTCTGCATTGCACTAAAAAAAAAATAAAGCAGAGAGCTCTGAAAATTTGCTATGGCTTTAGTGTTGACGTGGTATAGTTAAATAGATATTTAAAAGATTCAAAGGCAACCCAGTGGTAAAAATAATAACTTCACCCCAGAGTACTCTTACTGCTCTTTAGTTATTCATTCATTCTTTTATTCCACAAATATGGATGGCATACCTAACATGGGTCGGGCACTGTGATAGGTTTGGGTATTACAGCAGGAAAGGAAAAGACAGAGCTCCCTGTCCTCATAAAGTTCACAATCCAGGAGGAAGGTAGACACATAAATAGGCAATTGCAGCGAAACCTGAGTAAGGGCTTGTGAGCAGAAGTAGTGCGTATTACGGGAGCATGTAGGAGGGGCATCTGTCCCCAACTCAGGGGGTCAGAGAAACTTCCAGGAGGAAATGACCTTGAAGTTAAAACCAGAACTTCAGGAGCTAAGCAGGCTGAGTTCACTGGTAACGAGATACTAACCTAGACAGATGTGAGGCTTCTGTCCTGGGTGGAGTATACTTTCTTCTGTAGCCCGATGATAAATGTTGGTTGAGGATACTGAGACAAGGACGGAGGTCATTGGATGGGGAACTGACACCGTGGACTCTGTCAGTTGCCGGGTTACTTCTGTCATGTCCTGTAAGGATAGAACAAACTGTTGTTGCTGCCACAGTTACCCACCTTTGTCCTTTAATTAACTTCAGCATATTCGTGGATGGCAGTCTCTTTCCTTTTAAGACTAGCATGTGGGACTCTTGGAAACTTTGAGTATAATACCTAAGCCTAAAGCTTATACCCATTGCTGACTTAAAAATAAAAATCTTTATTGATAGAGCTAAAGAAGTATAAATAATTTTGGACATAATTATATACTGGCTTCTCTTGTGAGCTTTAAAAGACTTAGTTAAATGATTTACTGGAGTAGTAAAAATCCAAGGATTTGGGAAGTCTAAACATTCAAGTTTATGAGGCACTGAACTGAGGCAACAAATACCAAAACTTATTTGTTGAGGGGTAAGGGTTGAAGAAGATGGGGGTGAGGAACTTGGGAGCCTCCAGACTTAAATTTTTGTTTATTTTTTAGACTATAGAAACAGAACATTTAAATATATTTCAGAAGTATTAAATTAAAAAAAATAACTTCTTTATCCTTAGAATTATAATAGAAAGGAACAAAGGAAGTCCCTGTAGATAGTAACTAGCTTGGGTTGCTTTGTAGCTTGTCTTAGTCATGCAAGTTGCTTTATCAAGGGGAATAGAGGATTGACAGTTAAAGCATATGGGACTTGAGAGATCCTGAGTTAGAATTTTAAAGTTATTCAGCTCTCTTGTTTCTGAGGAAGGCAGTCCTTCGGACAGAGCCCCCCTAGATGATTTTCTTCATTGTTGAGCCCCTTGTGGCATTTTTGCATGTTGAAGAGATGTGTATTTGGTTGGCCTCATTACTCTTTCTTTTTGGTGTTCTGCCTGCGTTAGGAATTTGAAGTGATTGCCCAAATAAAGCTCTTACAGTCTGCCTGCAACAGCTATTGTATGACCCCAGACCAGAAGTTCATCCAGTGGTTCCAGAGGCAGCAGCTCCTGACAGAGGAGGAGAGGTAGGCGGCCTGTTGCCCGCCACGGTGGGGCTGCGGTGTTGGCCAGAGGGCTACTGCGCCCAGCTCCTCGCGTGGCCGTTGACTCACCAGCTGCCTAGTGAGCAGCGCCTGGGTTCCAGAGCCTCGGTTTTCAAAGGGTAATGGCGTAGCAGGAAAAGCTGAACTGATGACATCAGAATATGTGCTTTCAGATTCTCGCTGTACCATTTATCATCTCTGTAACCTTGAACAAGTCATTTACTCTTCCTGATCTTCAAGATGCTCTTCTATAAGACGTTTGTGAGGATTAAGTGAAATCATATTCGGGAAAAACATTGCTAAAGTGCTCACATCACCACCACCACCGCCACTGTCACCGTGTTTGTCACTGGTGTTAATTGGTACAGCTTTCAATCAGGGAGGGCAGATGACTCATGAAGAATTGACATAAAGCGCTACTGGGCCTCCGGGCAGGAACAGTTCATTTAGCCACGGATGGGGGGAAACGGAAGATAGTCATGAAGTGTTAGCATTTGGTAAGTAAGTTCAGTACGTGCATACACACACACACACACACACACACACACTCACACAGTGGGATGGGAATGATCAGGGGGCAGAATGGAATCAGCCTTTGATGCTTCCACAAAGCACAAATGCACGTATTCGAGGCCTTCGGAACTACCCGGCCTCAGTCTGTAGGCGGGGGGATGGGGGTGGGGTGTAGGGAGGAGGCACAGGTGTCAATTTGTAAGATCTGGTCATTGAGTCAGTGCCCTCTGACGTGTGATAGGACAACATAGTGTATAGCTTTATTCTGAGTCGTCAGAACCTTCCTTTAAAATAAAACCAGCGGATCACTTGACTCTAAACCTGTTCTTCGGTTGGGCTCTGACCTCGAGCGCTCCCTTCTCTTCCCCAGCTACGCCCTCTCCTGTGAGATCGAAGCGGCTCCTGACGCCAGCGCCACCTCGCCCAAGCCTCGGAAGAGCATGGTGAAGAGGCTCAGCCTGTGAGTGTCCCTCAGGGGTCCTGGGGCTGCAGGGGGTCCCGTCAGAGCTGGGGAGAGGTAGGGTATTCAACACAGTCCCCCTGAGCCAGTAGTGCTTGCAGGTCCAAGCGGGGAAGCAACTTGGAAAATAGGGCAACATGGAAAATAGAAATGAGTCAGAAAAAAGATATGCTTCAGGTCTTAGAATTTGAACTTATAATTCCTAAAATATTTGATACAAAACCAAGCTCACTCTCGTTGTTTCTATTATTGTTCTTTTGTACAGTCAGTGCTTGCGCGGGCACATGCGGTTCCTCCCTGCAGCGTGCTCCGTGCCCCCTTTTGACAGACTCCTTTCCTCTCTGTGTTGCCTGTTAACGGTAAACCGTCTCAGTCTTGTCTGCACAAGTATTTTGCCCTCACTCTTGGAACTGTTAGATGGGTATAGAATTCAAGAATGACTCTTTCACTCAGCACTTTGAAGATATTATTCCATGTCTTCTGACTTCTGTTGTTGCTTTGAGATGTCTGGTATCTGTTTAATTACTGTTCCTTTGTGTTGTGCCCCCACCCCCCACCCTGTTGCTTTTAAGAATTTCTAGTCTCTCAGGTACCGATATGCAGTTTAAGTGGGGATTTGATCTTATTTGTCCCATTCAAGGTGTGGTTCCTGGATCTGAGGATTCATGTGGTTTGTTGGTTCTGCAGTCTTCTCGGCCACCATCCCTTCAGCTACAGTCCCTCTTCCATGCTCTCGGTTGGCTTCTGCTGGGACTCTCTTACACACACGCAGGCGTTTCTCATCCCATTCTTGGTATCTTTTCATCTGTGTTATTTTCCATGTCTTTATATTTTGGTACTGATTTCTGAGGCTTTCCTTCAGATCTGACAACACTTATTTAATCTCTGCACTGAGTTTTTAATTTAAATCACTACATTTCTCATCATACAAGTGCCTTTTTTTCAAATTTTCTTTCTGTTCTTTTGCCAGAATATCTTGCTCTTAACTCCTGCTTTCAATTTCTTTTCTTATATCTTTAATATTTTTAAACATACTTATTTTATGTGTTGGCCCATGGTAGAAACTCAAATATTTGTCAGATGAATGAATAAATTATTAGTTTCTTTATGACAGTTCTTGTATCTGAAATCCTCAGGAGTCTAAACCTGCTGTGTGTTATGCCTGTTGACTCTTTGGGTAGGATGCTTTCTTGTGTGTATTTTATAATTTTGTACTGTGAGTTCATTTTTATCAGGGAATTCTCTGCTGCCTGGGTTGAAGGCATATTTCTCCAGAAATATATATATATTTTAAAATTCTAGTTTCTTCAGCAGTATTACTGGCCTGAGAGTTCCTAGACTGCTTGGGTAGCAAATCTGAGTGAGGTGCTGGCTGAGATCCCACATGACTGCTGGACAGATGCTTTCCTTTCACTTGAGCTCAGGCAAAGACGGAGAAGCTGCCCTGTTTTTTCCCTGTGCCAACAAGAAGATATTTTTTTAGCCCATCTTTTTACTAAGGTACAACCCTTCGAGGGTCCTGGCTGTATGTAAGGGGTCTCAGTTGGAACTCCCAACCTTACATAAACAGCCCCTCATCTTTGGGACCTGTGTATGTGTTAAAATCCATGCCCCTCGTTTGCCAAGATTGGCGCCTCCCATTCCCCATCCAGAGCAGCTGCAGAATTAGCTCACATGCTCTGGTTTTCAGTTCCCTTTTTCTTTCCTGCCTGTAGGGATTTTCCTTACTGTCTTGCATGCCCAACTTTAAAAAGATTTTTTAATGTTTCTTATCTAGTTGTTTTATAGTGAAGGGATTTAGATTATCGAAGTTCATCCGCTCATAGGAAACAGAATCTGCTTCCTTGGTTTCTTGTCCAGCTCAGTGCCAGTCTTCTTCAGCCTCACGGAGTTCACTTTATGATGGGATTTGGATCCTGTCATAGTGGTCCACAGGCTGTTAAAAAAAGGAGAACCCTTGACCTAGAAAGACCTCAGATTAATATGGCCTTCTGTTCAGCTAAGCAATCTGTGTGTTCTTTGAGGTTGGAAATAATCTATTGGGACAAGATGTTTACTATGATCTGTTAGAAACTTTGTGGCAAATGTTTTCCTAAAATAATAATGACACAAGATTGAGAAACCATCAAGGACTTAATTAACACAAAAATATTTGCTCAATCACGGATTCCAGTTTGTAAGAGCCTGAACACCTGGCGTTGTGTTTTCTGCAGACTGTTTCTGGGGTCGGACCTCATCACCAGTAGCACTCCCACCAAAGAGCAGCCCAAGTCTACTGCCAGTGGGAGCTCTGGCGAAAGCATGGACTCTGTGAGTGTGTCCTCCTGCGAGTCAAACCACTCGGAGGCTGAGGAGGGCTCCATCACTCCCATGGACACACCGGATGAGCCTCAGAAAAAGGTATATTCTTATTTCTTCTCCCTAATGCCTAATTTAGGCACCCGACACAGTGTTTGCCACGTGAGGAATGTCTGCTTTCAGCTATCAAGAGCAGAGTTCTCTCTGGGGACTCGTTCCTTATAGACACAGGTCTAAAAGCGAGGGGCATGTCAGGTTATTCCTCTGGCTTTCGAAATATTGTTTAGTACCCACATCCAAAGGTAGCTGAAGGATTGTAACCTTAACATGGGCTGCGTTTACTGAGGAGATGTGGGATTTTCTTAGAGAGACAGCGATGTGTCAGCATCTTGATGTCACACCTTGGCTCAGCCAAGCTTTTACCACCAGTGCGTTGTATAGCGAAGTGCCTCAAAACTCAGTACTTAAAACAACGACTGTTTCTTCTCTGTCATGCACAGCAGGCTGGTTGAGTTGGGCTGGGCTTGGCCCTGGGCCATGGGTTCGGTCCATGTCTGCTCTGTCTGCCTTCCTTTCTTTTTGGAGTGATGGGCTAAGACAGGTGAACAAGAGGGCAGACCCCACCCCGTAAACACACATTAATTAAGCCTTCACATGGGTTACAGCTACCAACATTGTATTGGCTAAAACAAGCCATGTGGGAAATCCCACATAAATAAACAAGGCAGGGAGCTGTATTCCACTTCTCGTGGGAGGAACTGTGGAGTCACAGGGCAAAGGGCCTGGATGCAGAGGAGGGTAAGGAATTAGTAACAGTGACACGATCTACCATGTCCCCCTCAAAAAGAAAGTGATGAGAGGTGACAAAAGAAGTCCCATAGAGAGTTTCCATGTCCCATGCTGCATGAATAAATGAAAACAAAACAAAAGATCCATCTTAGTCTTCTGCACACATCTGCTTCGGTTGTTGGTCTCTGAGCTAGGATCAAGGCATCCACTTTGACGTGACTAGAATTTGCACCATTTGGGGAGGCTTGGGGCAGCCTCACTTGCGGTGTGAGTGACTTCTGGCCCTTTAGCTATGCTTAGGCCAGTGAGGTAGAGTGTTGGTACAGGTCTTTCATGTTGTTTATGTCCACTGTGCAAGGGGATCTGTGTGCTGTTTCATACTGTGTTACAGCAGCAACAGCAATCCAGGGATCCTCAGGTGCCCTTTTGTCGCAAAGTGGCCAGTGCAGGAAGGACACCCAACTCAGGACCCATCGCCAAGGTGGCTCAGGAGCTGCCCCAGTTGGATTTCTCACCTTTCTGTTTTGAAATCCAGGGAACATTTTCCCTAAGCCGGGGGCATGATCGCTCTCTATGACCTTGACCTGCAGCATTGACTGTCAGCGTGGAGTGAGGTCTCATTATTCACCTTTTGACAGGTCCTTATGGTTTGTAGGCCCCTTTTCTGATGATGGACATTGTACAGAGGTGACAGCTGAGGTTATTGCCCACATCTTTGGGGTTTCTGCCTGTTCAGGAAGGAGAGAGACTCACATTTGCACCTGTTGCCATGATGGACACGTGTGTGGGTCCATATCATCCCTTTAAAAGGACATCAAAGCCCAGCGTGTGTCCTTTGCTTACCCCTTGCTTCATTCCTTTTTGTCTCCCCTCAATCACGCCAGTGCTTCAATTTCTTGCACAAGTCATGCATTTTTATTCTTTGAATGAATCTGGCTCAGAGTCATAAATTTCTAAGGTTTAAAAATGAGTAATTGAATTGGATGAAAGCAGTCGCAAGGCTTCAGCATCCCGGAAAGTTAGCGGGAAAGGCCTCAGCTGTCCTGCTCAGTTCACAGCTGACCTGGTGACCTCCGCAGTCCCTGCCCACTCTGCGATGCTGCGGCCTCCCCACTGGCTACACTGGGAGGCCGCTCTTTTCAGTGAAGTGTAATTTCCTCCCTTTTTCTTCACTCCCCTGATCACGATTTCCAAACATTTGCTTTCACACTTGCTCCTCAGAATAAATCCTTATTAAGAATTTGGGGGCTCCTCCTGTAGTCCGTTTGGAGCTGCTTTAGCCCAGCTTTATCTTCAAGGCTTTATCTTAATTATAAATGTCATTAAAATCATGGGAAATCTAACAGAGGAAAACAGATTTACATGAAGGGAAAAGGTGATAAAATTGAACCAGTAACCGGAACGTGGGCCCTCTCGGCTGCTGTGCAGTACACCTGCAGCCACTGGCTGATTCACTTGGGAACATAAGGAAAAAGATGTAACTAAACCGTATTATGATGGAGCCACAGTTAGGCTTCTACATTTCAGAGCTGAAACGCCAGCTTGCTGGGCTCTAATTCATTAAACTAGGTATGCCGTAGAATTTAATGCCATAGGAAGAAGTCTGTAGGAAATACAAGATATATGAAAGCTCATCACAGCCTCACAATGACAACTCTCACCGGGGCGGTGAAATACCATGTTCAGCCACCACATTATCGTAACTGCGGACGGGGCCTTGGCTACGTCTTTGCTCTGCGAACCTGGCCACGGGCATCAGGGAACTTAGGGGCATGTCCAGGTCGTACTGTCAGTAGTTTTCTCTCTGCCCTCCGGTTCCTCAGCAGCCGAAAGGGAATGGTCCTGGCGACCTCCAGGCGCCTTTTTAGGACTCATTTCATGCAGAGCTGTAAAATGTGGTCCTTATTTTAGAATATCCACGTTTCTCTCCCGCTGCACAGTCTGATTGCAAAGCGGAACCAGGACAGGGGTGCTCCGTGGGCGTGCCAGGCATCGCTGCTGTTCAGGGCTGGCGGGGCTGCTGCACCGTCCTCCGGCGTCCTGCCCTGCAAGCGGCCACCTCCCCTCCCTGCCTCTGGTGTCTGCTGCCATCTGCTGGTTAATTTCTTAAGAGCAGCTGATGAGGGTAACGGGACAGCCCTTGCCCCACAGCTGTGGAGGGTACTGAGTCAGGTAGGCGTCTCCCGGGGGCGCTTCCACCGGAGACAGGACACGTGTGCTGTGGGCCCTTTGGAGGGAATAACGGGAAGGAATCAGTCTCAGCAGCTCCGCTTTGGAAACGGCGAAGCGCAGCGCCGGCCGAGATTCTAGCAGGCCCGGGTGTGTCACCGGGGTGTGTTTTCTCCTCCAGCTGTCCGAGTCGTCCTCCTCGTGCTCCTCCATCCACTCCATGGACACCAACTCCTCAGGGATGTCGTCCTTCCTCAACCCCCTCTCCTCCCCTCCGTCCTGCAACAACAACCCCAAGATCCACAAGCGCTCCGTCTCCGTGACCTCCATCACCTCCACGGGGCTGCCGCCCGCGTACAACCAGCAGAGCGAGGACACCTGCATCATCCGCATCAGCGTCGAGGACAACAACGGCAACATGTACAAGAGCATCGTGGTGAGCGCCTGGCTCCCCCTTCCGGCCGCTTCCCGCTGACGCCTGTCGCCGGCCGTCCCAGCCCATCGCCACCCCCGTGGTGGCCTCTCTGCTTTAGCTTCACGCTCTGTCCGCCGACCCAGCTGCGGGCGTCTCCCTGAGACCGTCACCCAGCATAGTTTCCTCCCCGAGCCTTCCATGAGCACTTATTCCTCCCTTGTAAATGGACTGGCCAGATGCTTTAGTCACAGACAACTGTGCGAGGTCTCTGTCGCCCACAAGGACCCCGTTGTAGTGCGTGTTGTTTATTGAATGGCAAATACCAGCTGCTGCCGGATTAGAGGGAGACATCTGGGCGGGTGGCAGGTTCACAATGACACAGTTCTCTCCGGGACTTTAGACTTCTTTGTTTGTTTTGTTTTTGTGGTTGTCTCTCTTTTTACCTCCCAGTGAGAACAGCTTTTATTTTTAACTAAGAGTAATTTGTGTTTCCATTTGCTCTCTTTCATATTTAAAGAAATCGCCCCAGGGATGGCACCTAAGTCAGCCCTCTGGTCCTGAGCACCCTGCACATAATAGGTGGCTGGTGGGCAGAGATAGGGCAGAAAGTCAGAATTGGCCGTGAGGGGAAACTTTACTTAAATACTTAAAAAAATGTTAGATTTATTATTTTTTAACATTTAGAAGCTGACTTTTGTTGAAGCATAATTTACAAGCAATTACATACGCAAATCTTGTGTTCAGTTCTTTGGATTTTGATAACTATCTCGACCTCTACCTTTACCTCTGTCTGTGTCTGTGTCTACGACTACATATGTGACCACCATCCCAAGTTTACATAAAGAACCATTTTTCGTCCTTCCAAAAATTCCTTTGTGCCCCTTACTGTCAATCCCCTCTTACCCTGGTTAAGGTTAAGGTTCAGGTTAAGGTAAAGTTAGTTTTCTAACGACCGCAGGTTAGTGTAGCCTGTTTTTAAAAGAAGTGTTTCCTGCAGCATGTGATCTTCTGTGTCTGGTTTCTTTGGCTCAACGTGATGTTTTAAGAGATTCATCCCCAATGTTCCCTGTATCAGTTCTTAATTTCCTTTTATCTGCTGAGTAGTGTTCTGTTGGGAACATATGATAATTTCTTTATCTGTCTCCTAATCTCCTGAAGATGGAGAGTCAGGTCGATTCCAGTTTTTAGCTATTATGAGTAAATCTGCTATGAACATTTGTGTACAAGTCCTCTTGTGGACATATGTTTTCATTTCCCTTGGTAATACCTAGGAGTAGGATTGCTGGGTCACGGGGTCACTTGTGTTTTTCGAAATGGTCAGTGTGCCAGACTGGCCATTTCTGACCCACAGGCTGTAACCAGTGCCATAGCAGCAGCTCAGCAGGTAAGGATAATTTTGGCCCAAGACTGAAAATACTATACATTCTTCACAGTGCCCTCATGTATCTTCTTCCAGAACCTCAACCAGTGAGAGGAGATAAGCGAGGCATGCACTCTTTGTTTTAATAGGGGGAGACGCTGTGACTCAGGGAGTAGGTGACTGAGTAGATGACCCAGCATCCTTAAGACAACTAAGGCTGGAGCCAGGACTAGAACCCACGAGTTCTGGCTCTTGGTCCTGCTCTCACTCCACTGGGCCATTTCTCTTGAAAAGAATAAGGGGGGCAGGAGAGCTCTTTCAGGAGACTCAGGAGACATGAAGCTAAACACTTTGCACACACGTCATTGTCTTTCCAGCTGACGAGCCAGGACAAGACACCCGCCGTGATCCAGAGAGCGATGCTGAAGCACAACCTGGACACGGACCCGGCCGAGGAGTACGAGCTGGTGCAGGTCATCTCAGAGGACAAAGGTGAGCTGGGCGCACACTGCTTCTCCTGCCTCCTCATGGCAGGTGTCCCCAGGTTTAGAAGACAGAAAATGGACACAGTGTTTTTTAAATAATGGAACCAGTGGGGATTCTGATTGTGCGAAGGCCGAGTTGTGTGGGGAACCATGCCGGTCCCTTACCTGTAGCATTAAGCGTCTCAGGCTCCCGCTCCCCCCAGCCGCCCGTCGCCTCTCCAGTTTTGCTGAGCATTCCCGCTGCCCATTCTTTGTAAGCCTCTCGTCCTGTGTCGTGTGTCACCCTGTGTCAGGAGGTGTGGGTAGTTGGGGACTCTGTTGGTCTTTGCAGACAGCCACACACCTCCTTTACCCAATAACGTGTGTCTTCGTTGTGTGTGGACCTCAAATATAGCAGTTTCTGTAATCATTTCTCATTGTTTCAGTTAATCATTTATGAGAGGTTTGTAAGTTTGCCCTTCAGCTTATCTGTATTCATGATTGACCTTCAAGCAGCGAAAGCTTCTAACACCAGCATCTGAAGGGTCTTTCACTCACACTTCTTGAGACAGAGCTGCTGATCTATGACATGCTTCAGTGTGCCTAGAACCCATTATTTAAAGAAATTCCTTCTGTGAAAATTCTGGGCAAATAATCACCCTGAATGTGTCTGTTTGCTCATTTGAATTGGGGCTGTATTTGCTGAGTGGAGGAGACAAGCTGGGAGATAACTCCTCTATACCCTGTCACGTCATAGAAAGTGACTCAATCAGAGTGAGTCTCATTTCCAAGTCCAGAGGAGCAGCAAATACACCGACAGACCCGCCACTGACCAGTGTCAATGTGAGTGTCCTCATGCAGCCCCCTGTAAGGCAAAAGGACAATTATACAGGCTGGGTAAGGGAAGGGAGCAGCTGCTCACACTCCATTTGACCAACAAATTACTCAGGGCTGTACCTTGGGCCAAAATTAGTAGCACCCTTCCCCAGAGATGAAAGACTATAGTCTCAGAGAAAATTCTTTCTCTACTACCTCTTAGAAGTGTTCTCATTCATCAGCTGAGCCCTAGCTTGTGGAGCACACCTTTCTCGGTTATAAGCCAGAGTTCGATGGAGTTTCAGTGAAAATTCTAAGCCTCAAAGGTGGTCTCTTGAGTTTTACCATTTTGCCGACAGAACAACACTAAGGTGAGGCCGGTGGGCCTGAAGATCCAGGAATCCCGAGATGCAGCCTGGGCCCAGCTTTGTTCACCGCTGCGTGGTCTTGGGCGGGCTGCTTGACCCCCCCGAGGCCATAGACTTTAGTTCGTTAAAGGGGAATACGTGGGCAGGAGACCGGAGACACTTTAAGGGAGTTGTTCTTGATGAAACATTTGTGCAGAATGGACCAGAGTCACCTGGAACCTGGTTGCATCAATCTTGCTGTAGAATCTCGGTGTTTGAAGTTAACACAGGTTGGCTTAGCCCAGTTCTGCAGTCAGATGCCTCCCTGCTCCACTACCACAAAGCTAGACTTGCACATGTTACCTTTTATATTCCGTTTGGTTTTTTAGACTCCCATTACCTCTGAGTACTAGATAGTACATACCTACTTTTAAAAAGAAAAAGGAATTAAAATAACTTTGCTTGATAATTTCATATCACACCTGGAATAATCCTTGTTCAGAAATTGCAGCTATCTAGTTGGGAATCATTGCAGTAGACAATAGTTTACATGTTAACGGAGGTGTGCTGTCTTATATGATGCTGTTTAATATTAAAATACAAACTCTTGGCCTGGCCGGGCGTGGCTCAATGGTTGAGCATCGACCCAGGATCCAGGAGATCACGGTTCGATTCCTGGTCAGGGCACAGGCCAGGGTTTCGGGTTCGATCCCCAGCAGGGGGCATACAAGAGGCAGCAGATCAATGACTCTCTCTCATCACTGATGCTTCCATCTCTCTCTCCCTCTCCCTTCCTCTCTCTGAAATCAATAAAGATATATTAAAAAAAAAAATACAAGCCCTTGATGAAACAGACCTCACAAGGAATAAAATACTGGGTGGATTAGGGATTACCTCAAAAACATTTCGATACTCCAAAAAAAGGAGTTCTGGAAAACGCTGTAGAGTTTCTGCTTTCCCCTTATGTTGTTGGATCCTCTTAGTCTTGAGAAAAGCTGCATATTGGTGTAGAAAACAGACCACAGGACGGGAGAGACTTGGGTTCTAGTCCCAATTCTGCCATTAACTAGCCGTGATCTTGGGAATGTCATTTAAATCCACTTAGGCTCTGTCTCCTGTAGAACCTTCTTCCAGTTAAAACATTCTGTATTTGAATGTTTAGTTCATGGGTTGAATTTCTAAGTTCGTATTTGCACTTAGTTTTTTAAAACTGGGATTGAGAAGTTGTATGAACCTGTTTTTTGGGGGGCAGTGGGGGTGGTCATTATCAGGTTCCATTCACATTCCTGGGCCATCGTCCCAGCCTTGTTTCTGAGCAAACTCTGTAGGCCACTGTCAGTGCTGGGCTGACTGCAGGAGCTGACTGCCTTCTCTCCCTTCTCTGCTCTAGAACTCGTGATCCCAGACTCTGCAAACGTCTTTTATGCCATGAACAGCCAAGTGAACTTTGACTTCATTTTACGCAAAAAGAACTCCGCAGAAGACCCAGTGAAACTGCGCAGCCGGACAAGCTTGACCTTGCCCAGGACAGCTAAACGGGGCTGCTGGAGCAACAGACACAGCAAAATCACCCTCTGAAGGGAGGGACCAGTGGCCCCTTGCTCGCCCATGGCAGAGTGTGGCTGAGCACAGGCCGTGGTGATTGCAGCTACCATCCAGTGTTAGAGGATCATTGGTGAAGTCAACAGCTATTTATTAAGTTCCTGTCGTGTGCAAGGCACTGTGACAGGCTGTGGGGAGGTCACAGGTGAATTTGACATGGAAAGGAGGGACGATTCACTGATTCTCTTTGACCTATTTGAGACTGAAATGCAAAATTATCCACATTTATAAATATATATGACACATATTTGGTATGTATGTGTGTATATAAAAATATATGAGGGACTTGGAGGATATTCTAGACTGTGGAAAAACAAATTTGCACAATGGCCTGGGAAGTTGAGGTCACTTTTTACAGGGAAATAAAAGGAACTGAGAACCTAGTTTCCTACCTGCCAAGTAAGTGGATCCAATCCTAGGAATACAGTGTCCTTGTGCCAGTATTAGGAGAAGCCCAAACTGTTTTCTTAAAGGGAGAGGATGACTTTCTCAACCAGGTGCCACCAAGAGGGGACAACTGCAGGGGCCAGATGTGCCATGGGCTCAATGAGAGGCCGCTTTGGAAAGGGTTTGGATGAGCCCATGGCTTCCCTGGCCTCTGCCCCCATGCCGGCCTCTGCTGCCCCAGGGAGGCAGGGAGCTGCGGAGGCCCAGCCAACCCACTGGTGCAGCCGGCAAGACACTCCTGGGATCAACACAAGCCCGTTTGGATTTCCAGCAGCCGCATTGCGTTTGTTTCCCCCGAACTCACATATCTCAATCATTACTGCACAAGTAGCCATGTTCTTTCCAATTGCCTTTTGCATGTAAAGCTCTGTGTCTGGAGTCCTTTGCCACCTGGATTGTCGCACCTCTGTACTGTGTGCAATTTGTTCCTCAGGTATAGAGAGTTCTACTGCATTTGACTCTTGTTTGGTCATTTTGAGCCTGTGAAAGATTCCTAAGCAGCAATTGCTTCGCCAGCAGCCCCTCGGAAGGTGTCCCCGCTGACAGCTGTGTCCCGTTTTACGCATTGACTTGCCTCATTACTCTGCCTCCTCACGGGGAGAGAATTGGGCTGTGTTTCCTAAAGCATTTCTGCAGAGGTACAGTCTTCCAGATGGAATCAGTGACTTTTTTTTCAGGTCCCACACTTGCTATCCCAGTGTCACTGTGAGTGAGATTTTTTTTGTCTTCGGTAACACCATCACCCTCTCCCTTCCAAATCTAAGCTGTGCTGGGGTTTGAACTAAAAGCCATATGCAGGATACTGACATGTGTAAGAAGCACTTTCAGAATGTTGTCCCTTTTAAGAAAAAATTCTCAAAATAACCAGTTTTCATTCCAGAAATAAAGAGAACGAAACCAGATATGAAGCGTAGATTGTAACATGGAGTTTTTCCTTCTAATCCTGTAAGACGGCTCCCAAAGGTTATGTGAGATTTATGTTGTATAAATGACGATATGAAATCTGCAAGAAACACCAGGGGAAGTTTGCAGATTTGGGGCAGTGGACCAAAGAACGAGCCAGGAAGGCTTCAGAGTCCTTCAGGTCTCCCCACGAGACCAGCCTGTGCGTCGTCAAGACCGACACGGTTCCAAGTAGTCGAAAAGCACTTCTGTCTGCTAGGCTTGTGCTGGGAGGAGAGAGGCCAGGGTGCTAGACATCGTGGACACCGAGGCCTGGTCACAAAGGAAACAGAACCGCCGGGCTCGTTCTGAGCGCAGCTGCCAAGACACACGTGTGCCCATGTGCTCGCCCTGTGTATTTATACTGTACATGTAGAGTCTAGATTTATATACTGCAATGTAAAAATATATATATTTTACTTTTTTTAAAGACCATGGAAATTCCAAGTAGATAAAACATCGCCTCATTTATTTAATGCCACTCGAAATGTCTTCAACTTGTCTCCTGGTGGACGGCCGGGTAAGGCTTTTAGCTGCTCGCATGCTCGTCTTTCCGCATCTCCATTGTCTGTTTACCTGTTGGTTAAACTAATAAACTGGTTGGGACTCGGTTGGCATGTGCTGCCGGCCCCAAAGGGATTGTATCTGGAGTGTTAATGAGGTGGGTCCTGGGTTCCAGATGTGCCAGCTCTTCGGACGCCCACTCCGGCTGTGTTGGAGGGAGCAGAGGGAACAGCAGCAGCAGAGTGAGGAGGGGACCCTCTGCACTGGCAAGTGTCCCAAACCTCGCAAGAAAGAATGACGTCCCCAGTAAATAGCCATCAGGTGGGATGCTTTGCTGCTCGCTTGCTCCTGTTAGGAGGCATGCAGTGGGGGCACTTTATAACACGGAACTTCAGGCTAGGCTCCCAGGCAGTACGTGGCCTACTTCCTGACAGCTGTCCCCCCATCTGCACTTGTGACTCCCTGCGTAATTCTCGGAACCTGGGGCCTCGAGGGGAAGGTCTTCCCGAAAGGCAGTTGCATCAAGCGAGGCCCTCTTCACTCGCCAGCTGCACGTTATTGCCATCCCATCATATTATTTCCAGAATGTTCCAGAACCATTTTCCAGTGGATTCCTAAATGGCTCCAAGTCATCCACTATTCTGGGTCCTTGTGATATTTTGGAGAGAGCCATCCAGCTGTTTTAATCATTGATAATACAGGTGGGGCAGGAAGGAAAAGGGGTGTCTGTTTCTGGCACTAGGGGACTACTTTTTTAAGATCATTCTAGCAAACAGGTTCCCTTGTTTTGCCTCTATCTAGAAACTGGACATGGTGACTTTCTGCCTAAAGGAATCATGTCTCAAATGCCGTCCTTTGGAGCCTTTTCAAGTTTGCCGTGCAGCACGGGACCACCCGGAGGCACGCGCTTTGCTCCGTGCCCGGGTCTCCGTGGTGTCGGGAGGGCCTCCTGATGCCGGTTCTCTTTCTGCAGATGCTGCCGTAACCGCTGGTTACAACCTGCACCACAGTTCCACCGGGAGAAGGTGTTTCCGTTGTGGTTAGCATTGCTGGTTTCCCTAGAAACTCTCCTTGAACACTCTGAAGGGAGGTAATAAGCTAGGTTGAAGTACGAGTCCACGGCATCGCAGTGATTTACAACAGTTTTACTTCCCCCCGTCACAGTGTCATGCCAGCCAGGCAGGTCTCCTTANGGCATCGCAGTGATTTACAACAGTTTTACTTCCCCCCGTCACAGTGTCATGCCAGCCAGGCAGGTCACTTTCCTCTAATGGTTGGTGGTCAAGGATCCAGGCAGCTTCCTTCCTGAAATTCTGCCAGCTCAGGTCTCAGTGACGGCAGAGAGAACTCAGAACTGTCCCCAACTGCCTCAGACCGCAGTGACAATGTCACTTCCATCCACAGCCCTTGGGTCAGTCCGCAGTGCGGGGGAGGCGGGGAGATGCAGGAGCACCCAGAGGGTAGTCGGTGAGCATCACTGTCCCCAAGGAGGTACGTCTTCTGAGTCGGGTGCGCGAGCTTCTCTCCCCACAGTCATCAAGAGTGTTTGGAGGAGCTGGCAGTGAGGACTTGAGAGGGGGGCTGCACACAGCCAAGGGAGGGCTGAAAAAAGACAAGTGCTCAACGGAGGGGGAAATGCCAGAAAGAGGAATTCAGTCTACAATTAGCCTTACAGTATTTATTTTTTTTTAGCATGGAGTCACCACCAGTTCTCATGCTTGTAATGGGGCTCCTACTTTGACTAAACTAGGAGCTACTTGCAGATGTAGTTGTTGGAAACAAACCTGGGAAACTGAAAGTGTTTACACATAACCCAAGAGAACAGATAGAAGCCAGGCAGATGTAATCATTTAGGCTCAGAATCTGAAAAACCCTGCTGGGTGTGGTTTCTCAGCATCTCTACCCAGAAAGCTGCGTGGAAGCAGTTCACCTCACGGCTGGAGAAACCCAGTGTGGTAACATTTGGTGAAGGCAGAAGGCATCTCACAGGTCACGAAGTGCCCGCTTCATGTTACGAAGATGGACTGAGGCCCAGAGCAGTGAAGTCAGTTGCCTAAGGTTAGGGGCAGAGCTCTGGGTTACCGACCCCACTTCACGCGCGTCCTATGGGGCTGGGCCCCGGACCCAGGACGCCTTCCTGATGGACTCTGCCTTCACCTGGTGGAGCAGGAGAGCATGCCCCGGTTCTCTCCATCCCCAGCCCTCCAGCCACGTGAATTCACAGCATCCGGGTTGGATGGGCACCTGGTTGGCTCTTTAATGTCTCCAAGGAACATGGAGCTGCCGGTCAGAGCACTGCTACCTGTTGTCCTGAGCATGATCCCATCTCACAGGTGAAACAGGGCTATAAAAATCAGGATCACGCTGCGAGTGAGCTCCCCAGCTAAGATTTGAATCCATTTCTGATCCCTGCACCCACGGGGGTGGGGTGGGTGCAGCGGGAGGGTCTCCCGTGACAGGCACCAACTGCAGGAGGAGTTGAAGGAGGAGTGGATATGACTGGGGCGGGGCTGCTCGGCCTCTCTGTGAGCCAGTTACCGGCCGCCAAGTACTTGATCACAGGTTCCTCTGAAGAAATCTTATCCCCGCCACTGGTTCATCCCAAACCAACATTTTGTGTATAGTTCCAATTTCTTACATAAGGGGAACCAGAAAAACACACACAAGTGTAAAAAGTGGGAGTGAATGATTTAAACTGTTTCTGGATTGCTCCAGGCATAAAAAATATAAGTCAAGGCACCAGTTTCAAAATGGGAGGAGCTTTCTAAGTGAGGCTTAGCTCCCCCCAGACATCGATTTCTGATCCTTGTCTATACGACAGCTGGCATCCGAGCCTCCAGAAGTCAGAGAACTGACTAGTCAATATATGAGATGTCACAGGTGGGAAGTAGAGGGGTTGGGGGTGCTCTTTTATATGTCAGACTCTCCCCCCCCCCCCCC